TGAGGGTTGGGTGGGGTGGGTTGGGGTGGGAAAGCCGGCCCCGCCTCGCCTCACTCTCAGGCTGACTGTGGCCCTACGCCGTCAGGTACCTGGAGAAGTACCTGGAGCGCTTCCTGGAGACTGCGGAGCAGCACTTCATGGTGGGCCAGCGCGTGGTGTACTACGTGTTTACCGAGCGGCCAGGCGCTGTGCCCCGCGTGGCGCTGGGCCCAGCCCGGCGGCTGCGCGTGGAGCGCGTGGTGCGCGAGCGGCGCTGGCAGGACGTGTCGATGGCGCGCATGCGCACGCTGCACGCGGCGCTGGGCGGGTGGCTGGGCCGCGAGGCGCACTTCGTGTTCTGCATGGACATAGACCAGCACTTCAGCGGCGCGTTCGGGCCCGAGGCGCTGGCCGAGTCGGTGGCGCAGCTGCACTCCTGGCACTACCACTGGCCGCGATGGCTACTGCCCTTCGAGCGCGACGCGCGCTCGGCCGCCGCGCTGACGCGGGGCGAGGGCGACTTCTACTACCATGCGGCGGTGTTCGGGGGCAGCGTGGCGGCGCTGCGCGGGCTGACGGCACACTGTGCGCTGGGCCTGGCTTGGGACCGCGCGCGGGGTCTGGAGGCGCGCTGGCACGACGAGAGCCACCTCAACAAGTTCTTCTGGCTGCACAAGCCCGCCAAGGTGCTGTCGCCCGAGTTCTGCTGGAGCCCCGACATTGGCCCGCGGGCCGAGATCCGCCGCCCGCGCCTGCTCTGGGCACCCAAGGAGTACCGGCTGCTGCGGGACTAGCGCCGCCGTCCGCCCTCCGGCCCCTCCGCGGGCCCAGCGGGCCAGGTCCCGGTCCCGTTCCGGGGGTCTTTGGCCCCGGAAGACGTGGAGTGGGAGTCACCAGAGGGAGAGATCCTGAAACCCGGCGGGCCCCTTCTGGATGCTGATGGCGCTCTGGAGGGCAGAGAGATACTGGGTGCAAAAGCCCTACCCGCTCCGTGTGTGCCCGTCGGTGGGAGTGGGAGAAGGAGCTCCTTGCCTTTGGGGAGCTCTTCACTTGAAGACAAAAATCCCTTTCCCTTACTTTAGCAGTGAGCGAGATAAAACTACAGTAGTACCTCGATCGAGGAGCCTCTAGACCTTTCACTTCGACCCTGCGGAATGCAGCTGGTGTCTCTGGAGATGTTTTAGTCCCACCTGCCCCCCCGTACCTCTTTTTTTAAATAAGGAGACTGAGGCACAAAGAGGGAACATAACTGCCCAACGACACAGAGGGTCTGAGTCACTGTGATGTCAGCGACTGGAAAGGCGTGGCTGGCTCCTTGGGTTGCCTCTGGGCAAGAGCCACAGGAAGAAACACAGGTGGCGCCCCGTCATTGGCTCTGCCCTTTTACCTCCCCTGCCTATAAACATGGTTTGTACATATCTCAGTAATATGATGATAAATTATTCCTGCGCCGTGAAACAAAGTAGCAAATGTAAGAAGCCATGTTTGCTCCTTTCGCTTGCCAGCATAATTTCACAAAGCCCTGACTGTGACAGCATATAGCTGTCAAAACAAAAACACAGCTCCCCACGTCCCTGGCTCTAGTCACTATATTCCCTAAAAACTAAGTGACTCTAGATATATCTACATATAAGGTAATGTTGGTTGGGGTTAGTGATTATGCTTCTATAAACTATAACCAGATACACTCTTGCACACAAACTTAGATATAATTTTACACATATTAAAGCTTCTCCACCTATATATAAACTCTAAACTAAAATACTACATTCAGGCCGGGCATAGTGGCTCACACTTGTAATCTCAGCACTTTGGGAGGTTGAGGCAGGCGGATTACTTGAGGTCAGGAGTTCTAGACCAGCCTGGCCAACATGACGAAACCCCGTCTCTACAAAAATACAAATATTAGCCAGGCATGGTGGCACATGCCTGTAATCCCAGCCACTCAGGAGGCTGAGGCATAAGAATCGCTTGAATCCAGGAGGTGCAGGTTGCAGTGAGCTGAGATCGCATCACTGCACTCCAGTCTGAGCAACAGAGCTCAATAAAATAAATAAAATACTACATTCAAAGCATCCGATAGAACCTCTCTAAAGAGCTGCTGCTGGGGCTGTAGGCCTTGGTCAATGGTCCTCAGAAAGACTTCTAAGTAACACTAACTTTAATTCTTTAAAAGCTTACGTTTTTTCTTTAGTTGACATTCCCAAATTGTTATTGTGACCTTTCTCCAAAATGATATTTTCTGGCCTTGGCGCTAGCAGGGCCATGTTCGGCCACAGTATCTGGGTAGGAAGTTTCCACACCCATGGCAGCTGTCCAGACTTCTGACTCCCAGTGGGGAAACACATGCTCTGAATAGGAGTGTGAAGGCATCACACCCTCCAGGGAAGGTGGTCACAGGGCCAAGGAGATAGGTAAGGTAGCTACTGAAGCCCCTGAGATTTTTCTGACAGTTGGGAAAATAGGGGCCCTGGGAGATTGGGATTTCATTCACCCTGGCTCTCTTGAATATTTTATGTAGTGTTGTCACCAACCTTGTATTTTATAAGCCTCCACTCCCAGGGAGGGCAGCAATTCTTGCTATTTACCAGGCCCAACTATCGATGGTAAGAGAAATCTGTCCTCTCAAAAGCAGTTCAAAATGTTTCCTATCTAAACTGGATTAGCAAAACCCAGAAGGCCATCTGGACTCAGGATTAGAGATGAGAATGGGCCAGGTGTATCTAAGAACAGGCGATATGGCCGGGCAAGGTGGCTCACGCCTGTAATTCAAGTACTTTGGGAAGCAGAGGCAGGCAGATCACAAGGTCAGGAGTTCGAGACCAGCCTGGCCAACATGGTGAAACCCCATCTCTACTAAGAATACAAAAAATTAGCTGGGCATGGCAGCGGGCACCTGTAATCCCATGCTGACTATCAGCTTGGGAAGATATGTGTCCTTCACCCTTACCCTGCAGCATTTACTGAGAGCCACACATACTGCCCCTAACAGTTGCTGAGCCATTTGATACCTGAGCATGAACCAGTCAGAGATGATGTGAACCAGCTCTTCTAACTCGGTATGTGTGTGGACAAGTTCCTCACCTTTGCTGGCCTCAGTTTTCTCCTATGTGAAATGTGGATGCCAGTCTCCTTCCTGCAGGGGTTGTGGTGCTCCAGAAAACATAACTTCCTCTCCCTGCCTGCCCCTTCTCCAGCAAGTTCAGAAGCTGTAGAGGATTTGCCGAAGAACAGTCATTTCCTGTTTTTTGAGACAGCATCTGTTGCCCAGGCTGGAGTGCAGTGGTGTGATCATGGCTCACTGCAGCCTCAACATCCCTGGGCTCAGATGATCCTCCCACCTCACACATGCACCACCACACCAGGCTATTTTATTTATTTATTTATTTATTTATTTATTGTAGAGGTGGGGTTTCACCATGTTGCCCAGGCTGATCTCGAACTCCTGGTCTCAAGGGATCTACTTGCTTCGGCCTCCCAAAGTGCTGGGATTCCAGGCATGAGACACTGCGCCCAGCCAGTCATTTCCTGTTTTAAAGGGGAATAAATGGCATGCTCAGGAGCTTCCAGGGTGTCAGCTGGAGGCAGCCTTGGGCTGTTGATGGAGATGTTCTTGAGGAGGGGAAGGTTCAAGGAAGTTGCAGGGCGAGCAAACCTTGGGAATGGCTCCCCTCCTAATGAGTCCAGAGGCCTAAGGAGGGGTTGTGGGGGTGGGTATAGGGACTTGGATCTGAAGCAGGAATAACAAGAGGGCTAAAGCTCCTTCTGCAGCTGCCTCCATTACTGTCAACACTGTCCTTAGCACCTAGAGGGCAGTGGCACTCACACACTCCCCAGGCAAGCAGGTGAAAATCAGACTCAGTCCCCTGAGCACCATTGCTACATGCAAAATCTTCACCTGTCCCAGCTGCCCGACCTTGCCAGGCAAGCTCAAATGCCACTCCTAGAGATTCCCAAACATCTTCAGCTCTCTTAGGGATCACTGATGATAAGGATCATGGATCCATTAGGGCTAAGGCAAATAATAGCAATAATAATATGGACATATATTGGCTCTTACAACGTGCCAGTTCTAAGCATTCGACAGGTATTGAATCATTTAATCCTCACATCCACCCACCCTGTAAGTTGGTTACTATTATTTACCTCATTTTACATACAGGGAAACCAGGCATACATTTAGTAATGAACCCAATGTCATACCACTAGCAACTTAAATTCATTGACGTGAGAACAAACAGGAAATTAAACATAGCCAGAGGATGAAGACTGACAGGAACAGAGGTTACCCATAGCTCTTATTCTCCTCATTCCATTTCTGCTCTTTCTCTGCCTGCTTTGTTCTTCTGCTTGTACCCAGCTCAACACAGTCACCACAAACTGCAGTCTACCGGGTTTTCCACTATCTCCTAACTTGTTCCTAATTCATGGAATAGGGAATCTTACTGGAGAATCAGCTCCATCCGGTGCTGGTCTGGTATATGTCTAGCAGTTGACCCGGGGGAAAAAGAAAGCCCTGATTTATAGTATTTGCCAATCAATATTCATGGTGTAAATCCCACCATGGCTGATTTCAAGCTACCAATACTCACTGAATGCAGAGCTTAGAAGTGTGCACAACTTGCACATGTGAATCAGGACAGCCATTACACACCACTGGCTGCACCTACACACTGAGTCACTGAGTCAGGTGTCCACCCCTGGCCAATCAGCTGTGGCTGCCATGGGGTCATGTGAAACAAATATGGCTGCCACAGCCCATCACTTCCTGGCAAAACAGGCTATGGGAGGTCAATTTCAGAGAAAGAGATGAGGCCCCTGAGATTACTGAAAACATGCTGGTTCTTGGCTACACCACATCCATTTCCCCTTCTGATGGTACCACACTCTGGTTTCCTATTAGGGAACCTCTTGTACTTCAGAAGGTGAAGGTGGGTGCTTCAACCTCTGCTCCAGGATTGGAGCACAGGCCCTAGTCCCAAGCCAAACAAGCACATAACATGATCCAGTTAGAACCAGGAAGACCCAGTTAGACTTTTACTGGGTGCTCTGGTTTGAATACGTACTCCCACAAAAATGTGTTGCAAACAACCCCAGTGCAATAGTGTTGGGAGTTGGAGCCTAGTGGGAGGTGTTAGGTCCTGGGGGCTCCTCCCTCATGAATGGATTAATGCTGATTATAAAAAGCCACAAGGGCTGGGTGCAGTGGCGCACACCTGTAATCCCAGTACTTTGGGAGGTTGAGGCAGGTGGATCACCTGAGGTTAGGAGTTTGAGACCAGCCTGGCCAACATGGAGAAACCCTGTCTCTACTAAAAATACAAAATTAGCTGGGTGTGGTGGTACATGCCTGTAATCCCAGCTACTCGGGAGGCTGAGGCAGGAGAATCACTTGAACCTGGGAGGCAGAGGTTTCGGTGAGCCAAGGTCGCGCCATTACACTCCAGCCTGGGCAACAAGATCGAAGCTCCGTCTCAAAAAAAAATTTTAAAAAAAACGCCACTTCGAGGCTTCGAGTTCTATTTTTCTCACTCTCACCTTTTGTTTTTTGTTTTGAGATGAAGTCTTGTTCTGTCTCCCAGTCTGGAGTGCAAAGGGTGCAATCATGGCTCACCACAGCCCTGACTTCCCGGGCTCAAGCAATTTTCTCACCTCAGCCTCCCAAGTGTCTGGGACTACAGGCACTTGCACCCCCACACCTGGCTAATTTTCTTTTTCTTTTTTTTTTCTGTAGAGATAAGGTCTTCCTGTGTTGCCCAGGCTGGTCTCAAACTCCTGGGCTCAAGTGATCCTCCTGCCTTGGCCTCCTAAAGTGAGATTACAAGCATGAGCCACCAAGCCTGGCCTCACCCTCTTTTGCTCTTCTGCCTTCTGGTATGAGATGACATGGCATGAAGGCCCTCACCAGATGCTGGCACCATGCTCCTGGACTTCCCAACCTCCAACTATGAGACTTGAATTTATCATGAGCAGAACATTATAAATTACCCAGTTTGTAAGATCCTGTTACGGCAGCATAAAACGGATGAAGACACTGAGGCTTTTGTCAGAGACAGAGGTTTGATTGCTGGAACCCTGTGGACTGTGAGACTACAGATGATTACTGAGGGCCCCCACAGGAGCCTCAGGCTGAAGCTGACTAAGAATGGAGTGGAGAGCTGGAGACACATCCTTTGAGCCCTGAAGCTGGCCTGACCACTGTCCTGTTATATAAGCCAATGCATCCTTGTTTGGATTGGACTTTCTATCACTTGCAGCCAAGTCTAGACACACAAGGACTGTGAGAACTATGGGAAATGAGTTCTCAATGATGAACTCCATGGTAGTCACTTCTGTCTTCCCCACAGTCCTTTCACAGGGCCAGCCTTGATAAATTTTTCAGGAATTACTAAATTTCCTTCCTAGGCAATCAAAACATTGACCTCCA